AATTTAAACCAAATTGGAACAATTGGGGGTTCTTTGCTTGGATCAAATCCAGGTGTCCATTTTAATAATTTCATGGGGGTTCTAGTAATTAGGAGATTTTGTTTAGCAAAAACTTTAGCATAATCCTCCTCATTAGACATCTTGATCAAAAGGTGTCTTCCATCCATTAAGCCCAGCTGCCTAGGATCAATGAGTTGGAGTTCCTCAAAAAATTTTCTAACAAAATCCATTTTTGGATGGCCAAATTGAAACTTGCCAATCAAGGTGAACTTGATTGATTCATTCAGAGACTGCATCTCCCCAGGGGTAAAAATTACAACAGGTTCACCCTCTTTGACTCCAATAGGAAAAATATAAGGGCATGAAGTCTTGCCAACTGCAGCATCATGCAAAGCTTGGAGGAAAACCAGATGGTCAAAGTTTTTGGGCAAGTCTTGCCCTTTGCCAACTACACCAGCATAAGTGGCTTGAGTCCACTGTGCATTAACTTCCACATTAATGGGGTTGAACTCCATTAAGACATCTTCAGTGCAAAGCAAAAGACATGGGACCTAGATCCAGAGAAACAACACTCAATGGAACAGTAAGAGTCCCACACAGCAGTCTCAAGCACTAAATGGGACAGCAAGATTCCCACCTAGCAGTAGAGACAAAACAGTCACCAGGAGACCAAACAGTGGATGTCAGCCACCAGAGAGCCTATGTAGAGAAAGACAAAAGCCAGTCCCCCTTTTCCTGTGGGGAACCACAGCAAGGGAGAAGCAGAGAGAAACTCAATGGAACAGTTAAAAAAAAAATAGCCACAGGAAAACCTCCACCACCACCAAAGGAGTCGACAGAGAGGAAACCACCACCTCAGAGATCCACAGCAGCCAGCAGCCACCACTCTTCATCCTTCAAAAACTTTAGCAGAGCACCACCAAACCCAGCCGCCAAACATTTTGATATATATATATATATAATTTTTATGCGTGTCAAATTCCCCCAAATTTAAACATTACTTGTCCTCAAGTAACCCAATAACTTTAAAAACTAAATTTGTTGATTTGAGGTCATGGGTTTTAGTTCACTCAGAAATATTACAGTATAACTTAGGAGATATTATAGTAAATCAACCAAGAACTAGAGTGTAAGCATATCTTATATTCAACTTAGGAATCCTGATTTTCTATTTATTTCAAAAGTTATTGCAACTTGTCAAACTCAAGATTCATAAAAAGTTTAAAAATAGAATTCAAGCACCTTATTAATACCAATTTGACCAATAATTTTTTTTCTTTTTTTTGAAATAAGAATAAGCTTAAGATTGTTTTTAATTCTTTTTACATGAAAATATTCATTTGAAACTAAATTCTCATTAGACTTCCTCAAGCTTCTCCTCACATATTGTCTTTTTACCTTTCTTTTTCTTTTCTCTTTCTTTTCTTTCAGAATCTTTTTAATCCTTATCCTCTTTTATTTTTTTATGTGAGGATTACTGTACCTGAATAGGCCTTTAATAATTTTGAATTTCACTATCCTCTTTCAAAAGGCCAAAATTCAAAACTTTCCCTCACTTTTTAAAATTGTATGTATTAGATTGAAAAAGGTTTCAATAGAGGCTCAATTCTCATAAAGTATAAATCTAAGAATCTTAGATTTTCAAATACTAAACTCCTTTCAACCATAAATAACAAAATCATTTTTTTCTAATATTTCCTATGAAGTATCTTAAGTCTAGAGTAGTTTCTTCACATAAGATTTCAACAAAGTTATTTTTCTAACATCCTTAAAATTAAAATTATAGTAATCTAAAGTTTGCCACAAGTCATCTTAAAAGTGATATCAAATTAAATATGTGCTACTCAGGAAAAATAAAGTTAAGTTTTACAAATTTTTCTTTTGCCCAAACTTGAATTTTAAAATATTTTCCAATAACTACAATTAAATATGACAGGAAGAAAAAATTGAAATTGATAAATACATGCTAAAAATTAAATTAAACTAAAAAGGAAGCATAAGCTTTCGTACAGGTACGAAGTATATAAATAGACATAAATAATTTTCAAGTTTGCATTTGAAGGAATTGCTATATAAATAAATAAGGCTTGAATATGAAGATAAGTCCATCTAACACAAACAACACTAACATTCTTTCCATAAAAATAAATATTCAAGCATAGTTCACTACACAACACACATATATCAATCGACGCAATCAACAAACTTAAAGACACCTACATAACAAAGCTTGACTCATAAACAAAAACACACTTTCATAGCACACCAACAAAGATAACCATGGGGTGCCTCCCATGAAGCGTTTGATCTAACATCACCATATTGACAAAGGATTCCACCAAGATCAAAATTCTATTTAAGTAATCCTTGATCAATCACCCAACCTTTTTCAGATCTTGGGATTCCTACTAAATCCTCAAATTTTAATTTTAATTTCAGCTATTCCTTTTCAGCTTCATTAAGATTATAATTCTTCATGTTTCTTTCTAGATCCAATATTCTTCAAATGATTTTCTCAATTTACATATTAATATCATCCTTAAAAATTATAAGAAATGGATCTATATATGATAATTCAAGATCTCCTAAACTTTGGATTGGATTCTCTCTAAATGAATTAGATTGTGGATTAAATTTTACTAGGTTGCCCTTCTGTCTCAAGTTATCTTCTAATTCTTCTTCTTGAGATACTAACTACTATAGGATATATTATTGGCTCAATTATTTCATTCATAAAGCTAGATATTGCATTATCCTTAAACTTTTTTTTGTCAAGAATCTCCTTCTTAAACTTCACAAAACAAGGCATTCGTTCTAATGCCTCGGCAAGTAGAATATTTATAATTAATTTCCTGAATTCTTCTATAAATCTTGAGAATTGTTGGGCATATTTTGTATCAATATTTTCTTAGGAAATGATGGAGGTGATCTTTCTATAATTATTTTGATTGATGAAATAGATTTCTTTAATTCATTCAGAATTTCTTTCATTGGCCTCTCAATCTATTTTCCTCATTTCTCAACTCAATGTTCTTTTAAAATATAACCTCCAATTCTCTTCTAATTCTTAGTTCAATATCTTTATCTTGCTCATCATTCTTCTCCTTAAGGTCTATCTCAGGGTTCACTATGTAAAATCTCTGGAGGATAACTGTTAATTGCATTAATAATTTGTTCCAATTGATTTTCCATACTCCTAATTGTGGCCCTAGTCTTTCCAACTGACTCTGCATTTGAATAACAACCACTTCTAATAACTCCTCCTCATTTTTGGGTTGAAGTTAAATCCTTGAAGGAAAGAAAGTCCAAAATTAAAATTACCCTTATTATTCTAATTATAAGTTAGATAAATTAATTAACTTCTCATAATTGGTTTTCTCCTCCAAAATTGTTATTCCAGTTAAAGTTTGAATAACTTTCCTAACATGGTTGTAATAATTAGAATAAGGAATGTATATCTCATTGGTGGTTCCAAAAGAGTTAGTTTCGATCAAATTCCCAAATAAATTTTCCTCAATATTTGGGGGCCCTTAAGGATAACTTTCTACATATTGATCTAACTTCCTCAAAATATCTGCAACCTATGAAGTTAAAATAGTAAGCATATCTACTTAAAAATTTGCTACTCTCTTGGGGTTTACTCTTTCGAAGC